GAGATCATGCAGGAAATAGTAGTTTTACTTAGCAATGCTTAGTATTACCTATTATTGATGTATTACAATCCATCCGGCAACTTCAGAGGACATGTTTAAATATAAATTTAGTTGGAAATATGAGTTTAAAAATTACTAATATTTTTATTATTCATATTGTATATACTAAACTTGTATTATTAATTATTATTAATCTGAATTAATCCGTAAATTCGGATGATCCTAAAATTTCGGGATATAACAAGAATAACTTTAAAAAATAGGATCGAAACCCTAATTAATCCAATTTATTAAAATTAATAATTTAATTATAATAATAAAAAATGTAATTGTATAAAATATGATTTTACAACAATTTGATACTTAAATTAATAAAAATAACACTATTAAAAAAAAAAAAAATTAAGCAAATTACTACCTTTATTTATTTACATTCAATTTAGAGACAATAACTCTATTTATACACAATAAACTCTATTTATACAATAAACAAGTCTGAATTAAATTGTCACTAAATTTGTTTCTTGTATTGATTTTATTTTACATGCTTTTTTTTTTAATCAAAAAAGCAAAATTTTGCTAATTGCTAAGAAAACTAAATTATTAATAGTAATCCATAAGATTACTGATATAAATATAAATATATATTTATATATATATATATATTTAAAAAATGTGATTATCATGCTAAACTAAAAATGCTATAAAATTAATATATACTTTTTAATATATCAGTAGAAAATGCACGCATTCTATTACTGTATATACTTTTTTTTTACTTTTGGTTGACTATATAACAAAAAAAAAATGAATGAATTAATTAGGATAATCGCCGACTCCGTTTTCAATACCGTTTTCATCATACATTTCCACGTCTATATCGGTGGAATACTCTCCTTCTTCATTGTTTTGTATCTCTTCATCTCCTATAGTGCTAACATCATCTTCTTCACTTTGATGATTTGTCGATTGTACGTTATTATTATAAAATCCGTTACCATTTTCTGTGTATATTTCGACTTCGAGTTGCTCTTCGTCATACTGTGAATGAATATCATCATTTTGCAAATATTGCGTTCGGTCACGATTCGAAACTGTCCCATTTCCATATTGTGATCCATCATGTTGTGAAAGTGTTCCATTCTCATTTTGTGATACATCAAGATGCGAAATTGTTCCATTTTCATATTGTGATCCATCATGTTGTGAAAGTGCTCCATTTTCATATTGTGATCCATCATGTTGTGAAAGTGCTCCATTTTCGTTTTGTGATCCATCTTGTTGTGAAAGTACAACATCTTCGTTCTGTGACCCGTAGTGCTGCGAACCAACACCATTTTCATACTGCAATCTAGGATACTCCTCTCCTTCTTCTGAAGGTACGGTATGCTGTGAATCTGAAAATTGCGACTCGTCCGAAGACCCCATAAACTCGTTGTCTTCTTCGTATCCGCCATCTTGTGAATCTTGATCACCATATTGTCCATCCTGTAAATATTCTCCTCCTCTTTGAGATACCAAATGTGCTTCCCCTTCACATTCTACTTCGGTTACTGAATCATCTCCATTTTCTATTTCATCGTAGTCGTCCTCTGCCGTTTCGTCATTGCCTATGGTGTTAGTTGACGGTGATGGATTTTCGGGCGGGGGTTCATAAATTTTATCAATATCTATATACTCGTATTCACTAAACTTGGGGTCGATATTTGGAGTAGTTGATCCTGACATATAACCAACAGTATTCTCATAAGAGTTCATGAGAATAGTTGCATTTGCAAGTGGATTTATTTTCGTCTCCTCTAAACTCGTGTTCTACGTAAGATTATGAATAATTAACAAATTTAAAAAAACAGACGCACTTAAGATAAAGCAAACCAGATATTATAGTACTTGCTTTTTTCCTTACTAATTTAGGACACGTTGCAGTGTACATATCCAAAATATCATCGATGCATTCTAAAATGATAATAATATGAATAAATTGAAGGGAAATCTTGTTTAATTTTCATCTAATTAAATATGTAATCATTTACTCGTTGTTTCATAGATATTGCTTTGCATTACGTTCCACCAGACCGTTCCTTTTGTGGCGTCGTCGTTCAACGATACGTCACCCACTTTGGAAGCGATAAATACAGCAGCACTGGCTATTGTCGTTGGTTGATAAAACAGACAAATCGGCGTTTGAAGGCTATGTATAAAATTATAGTTTGGTATTGATATTTAATTCTTTGGGTTAAAATGATTGTTATTAATGCTTACCCATGATTTATAATTGCCCATGCAGCAGCGGCCAGATCCCTCAAGACTTCTTTATTGAAGCCTAAAGAAATTAGGACTTATTAACAAGCAAGTATTATAAATGATTGATCAATTTTATAAAATTTTTACCTTTCAATTCTTTTGTATATTTCAATAAGGGCAGGTAAGGATGATCGACTTGTAAATCGAAGCAAAGTATTGCCGCAATTAGCGGTTCCAGATGTTTTAAAGTGTTATCCCACATTTCGATTTCCTATGTTAAGATTCCAAAAATAATAAGTCTCAAAATAAAAAAAAATATATAGAGATATATATAGATCGAATTTCCACGTTCGTTTCTTATTATTATTGAATTGTACTTATACGTAAAGTAACGAGGATCCGAAATGAATTTTATTTGATTTTTTATTGTCCACATTAAAATCTACGCTTTAAGAATCCAGAAGAAATTTATTACTGACTTTTGTATCGTCGAGGCATTTGTCTCTGCGAGCTACACGAGCGCATGCAGCTGCAACATCTTCTAGCGTTCTCCTAGGTTTAGGTTCTTCCACCTTTACAGCAAGAAGCACGCAAGCACCTCCTACATCCTGTTTGACATAATTAATGATCAATACATCATAACAACTTACATAAAAAATGTGTAGATTAAACTTACATAGGGATGAAACTCTTTAAAGCTCTTTCGCATGAAGAATCTATGAAAGTATACTGAGGCCGTTGCGATCACGATCTGGGGGCTATTTAATTAAGTTGGATTCAAAAGAGATTCAAGTTAAGAATTTAGGTATTACGATAACTTATTAGTAGAAACCGTATTGGTTCGCATATTCAGAACTAGAACCGCAAGTTTGCAAGTTATTCTTATTATGTGTTGAGAAAGATGGTAAAACTTAGTTCTAAAAAAAGGATACAGTTTAATGTTAACGCAGACTTGTAAAATGTACTTGATACCCTTGCTTCGAAATTTTTTTTCGTCAGCAACGGATATGCCGTCATAACGTGACGGAGAGTGTGATAAAAAGTCAGTTTTTTTAAAGTACCAGTTTGCTTTGCAAAATTCCATAAGTATGAAATTTTTGATTGTGAAAAAAAAAATTTGTAAATAAAAAAGTTCACCAAATTAGATCTGGATTTTTTTAAAAAGAAGAGCGAAAAAAAAAAAATCGCGAACAAAAAAGAAAGATGTAGAGAAAGTGATTGATATATGTCAAAAAAAAAAAAAAAAAAAAGGAAAAAAACCACTTAAATCTTCGAGAAACGCAAACAATCAAGCCCGCTTAGACTGGAAGATTCAAAGTGATTTCGTAAATTATATTACGAAAAATGAATATATTTTTTGATGAAAATAATTTGATCCAAGTTATTTGAATATGTTGTTGGAAACACAAATGCTTGCTAATGAAATGAATTATCGATCGGAAAATTACAAACATTTTCATGATTGGTGAATTATTAATTTTTTTTGACACCAAATTATCGGTAATTTATAGGTGATAAGATATTTTACGTCATCATCTGATTATAAACAGATATTACTATTGAAAAAAAAAGTTTCCTCCTCTTCCGATTTTTTTTTTTTTTTTAATAAAAAGAAAGAATGCAGATTTTCGTAAAGACTTTAACGGGTAAGACTATTACCCTTGAGGTTGAGTCATCCGATACCATTGATGCTGTCAAAGCTAAGATTCAGGATAAAGAAGGTAAAATGCTTTTTAAAATTTTACATTTGAATATTTTTCAAAAGGTTACACCGCTCGAATTATTCAAAAATTTTTTTTTTCGAATTCCCAAAGGAATTCCTCCGGATCAACAGCGTTTGATCTTTGCTGGAAAACAGGTAATTTTTTTTTTCTTTGTTAATTTAATTGAAATTCAAGGTTATTTATCAATTCATTTTTTCATTTTATCAATCACGTGTTTCGTATGTGAACAATAAATAGCTCGAGGATAATCGTACTCTTTCTGATTATAATATCCAAAAAGAATCAACTTTGCATTTAGTTCTTCGTTTGAGAGGTGGTGGTAAGAAACGTAAGAAGAAGACTTATACCACCCCAAAGAAGATCAAGCATAAGAGAAAGAAAGTCAAATTGGCCGTACTCAAATATTACAAAGTTGATGAAAATGGAAAGATTACACGACTTCGCAGGTCTGAATCTAATAAGGATTAATAATTAATAATGATTTGTTTATTGTTATTTTATGAAATTTGATTGATTTTTTGATCATCCCTTTAGGGAATGCCCAAGTGCTACATGTGGTGCTGGAATTTTTATGGCATGGCATTATGACCGTCAATATTGTGGAAAGGTATTTTTTTTTATTTCTAAATGATGCTTTACAAGATTTTATTCAAACTCTAAATTTATCAAATTCTTAATAGTGTGGGTTAACTTATGTATTTAAGAAAGAAGAAGCCGAATCTTGAATAAAAAATTATGAATGATCGATTAGGATAAATGAGTTAAAAAATTATTGTTGCTCAATTTTTTTTGTTGTAATTTATTTATTTTGATTGGATGTTCCCAATAAGTAAAGCTATACGCAAATTCATTTGTTTTGGAACGATACATTAGAGATCACATGTGACTTCATTTTAAAGGATAGGATCTTTTACGTTTGGTTATATATGATATTCTTTATTATTTCAAATATATTAATGTCAATAGTAATAATAATAACTCATATTATCATCCATTATACATATTGCTAAATAAACTGATTTGTCTACGATAAATATTGACAAGGGAGAGAATGTATTTATATATAATAATATTCTACAAACATCATCACCTTTAACTTTCCGGACCATCACAATATTTTAAGATTCGCGTATTTTATCCACATATTCTGCAATGTTGTCGAATGTCAACTTGATCAATTGGCGACGAGATAATGGTTTCTTGGTGAACCTATAAAAGATTGAGTTGGTGTTAAAACACGAGTATATTAAAAAGTAATGAGTCAAGAAAAGAAAAGAAAATTATATATATATATACGGGCAAGTATCTTTCGATTCGGGCGATCTAAGAATTTTGGTCCAAGTTTGATAATCACAAACATATCTAGTTGATAAATATTAGCGATTAATATATGTCATGTAATATAATAAATATCTTCAAATCTTTTTTTTTTTTATTCGATACGACTAAATTCATTTGTTTACCCATCAGGTGAAATAGCAGGTTCATTCATTGGCTCTAAAGTGATCGAATCTTTCATATTTGGTAACGGATTCCATGGATTAGGTCCATTAACGGGTTTTTTAACCCAGGAATCGACCTGACTTTGTCCAGAAAATTTTCTTGCGCGCTTCATTTGACCATTAGAGGCCAATGACTTGACAAGCTTATCATAATTTACACGTAATGATTGCACTGGACATTCATCAAATTCAGTAATATGACCCGAAGTAACCAATTGATTATACTCATATTGACATTGAAATCCGGTTCGATTAGGAATATTACGAGCAACTAATCCAAATGGAAATGTATTGATTCCCTCCTTATTATCGCCAACAGCCATATTATCACAATATCGACGAATCTCCGTTAACAATAATTGTCTTTCTTCGTCCTTCCATTCTCGGTCTGCGCAAAATGATTCACCATCTCCAACGAATCGATAATAATACTCGTTTATGTCACTTTCTCGAACCATGTTTGTTAATAATTGCTGTAACGTAGGATCAGAAAATCCAAAGTATAATGGTCCTGAGATACGAGTTGCTTGATTTTACAAAAAGAAATGGTTGTTAGCCTTACGATTAAATTTGTCACGTGTTGTTCTAACATTAATGACGTACTTCTTGAACCCTTGTACGAAATACAAATTGTCGTCCACGGCTTTGTGGGAGTACTTCCTACAAATGTAGCATTCGTCGCCTGATCGGTTACGGTGAAACGAGGGTTCCCGGTTTCGGGATCTTCATTGATGGACATAATGAAAGTCCTATTTTTTTCGACACGCATGGCTTTATAATTGATAGGAATGGGATGATGATATAAAGATCCTGGATTCGACCACCATGCAGCTGTTGATTTATGATAACTACCAAGACTAAGAATGGTAGTTGGAGTAGATAGAAGACGATAGGGAAAGGTGATATTTTCTAAAAGATCAAAATGATCCGAATCTTCTTCAGAAATTGAATTACTTTCTTCAATACAATTCGCAACATCATGAGATGCTGGTTTTAACATATTACGAAATTTTCGTGCATTCTTTCCAGAAAGTCTGTTGAGTACGTCTTGTTCATTATCATCACAAATTGACAAAGCCAATCGCGCTTCATCTTCTGTCAAATCAGAAGCGAATAAAATTGTTTTCACCTTAAAAATTTCATATCAAAAAAAAAAATTTTTTTTTAAAATCTGAAAATCGATTATATTATACAATACGCGTTATTTTTAAAAAGTACCTTTTGACAAACGTCTCTTTCCACGAAAGCATTGTACTTTGACCTTACTTCTAGAACACGCTTTAAAATAAGTTGTTTTTGCTCCTCAGTAACTTCAGGGCCGTCAAGAAGCTGTGGTAATATAGAAGAAAATTGTTCAACACTTTCTTGTTGCTGCTGCGGCTGTATAATCGAGCTTGGTGGCGCAGAAGATATTTGGTTACGACGTGACTTGGTTATTCGCTTTATTTTCATTTTACTTTTTACTACACTAATATTACAATTACAAAAAAAAAAAAAAAAAAAAAAAAACTAGGTAACTGCGATAGTTTGTTTAATCTTTTAGAACAAAATTATTGGGTTCGCGTGATATGAAGGAGGAAGGAAGGTTGTATCATTTTCCACTTACTATTTATGTCACCTCATACGTATTAGTTGAAGAGTTGAATGAAGCTAAAATAATCATCCTTTTATGGATAATTCCAGCCGGATAACTGGAATTGTGCGTTTCTTGGCCAAAATTACATGAGACCAACTAAATGGAACTTTTATTTGTAATTATTTTCATCCTAGCTTAATATAGAATATTTTTCATATGTACAAGTTAATTTATGGTAATCTACCATTTCATTCATATTAAAATCTCCTATTGGCCCAAGGAATCAAGATTATCAAAAATATCGAGAATAAAATTATGGAAAATTTATAAATGATCTTAGTTCTGTTTCAAAAAAAAATAATAAAAAAAATAAATTATTTTGAAGGCTCATAATGATAGATATTAGTAATTCAACAACAAATTAAAATAAAAAAAAAAACAAATTTTACAATCGAAATTAGTTCGGAATTGATCCTCTATCGAAGAACGAATCTTAGGTAAATTTCAAAGAGTCATTATTTTTGCTCCCATTCTTGAATAAAAATAACTAAACAAAGCTTGATTCCACTTTCTCTTCTTGTGCTTTTTACATAAATTTGATTTTACATAATCATTAAAGATAGTAGAATAAGAAAATAGATGATACGATAATAGTTGATTTTTTTTTTGTGAATTGCAATAGAGAATCCATTTTTTATAATTTAAAAAATGAAGAACTTGAGTTCTATTATTCTTATATTGTTTAATAAAGCTTTTATGAAAATAATTCTGAGTTGTGATCATTGATCAATGTATAACATGATGTGTCTTTTTACATTAATAAAAATTAGGGGAAGAGAAATCATTGTAAAATAAATAATATGTTTATTAAAGCGATTTTATAATAAATATGATTTAAGCCAACCCAAACGAGATTAATTGTTTGAGTCACCATAATTTTCTAAAACCATATCATTTAATCCAAGAAATTCATTCTGTTCCCAAGTTCTCTCATATTGTTCAATGATCATATTAGGATCGGAATCTATTTAAATTTTTTTTAAAAAAAAATCAAACGTTATTTAATAATCATGCAATACGCATCAAAGGCACAAATTCAATTAAAATTCACCTGGAGCATAAGGATTTTGTAAATAACTATTACCAAGAGGATCATCAAGTATTAAAGTGATGGGTAATGCCTCACCACTCATAACCTTATTTAATTTATCAATAAATTTTTGAAAAGCAAATTTACGTTCATCTTGTATACTATCTCCAACGCTAAAAGGACTTTTATCTTTTAATTCATCATGAATTTGTCTTAATAACCCTTCAACGGTTGTAAATCGACCTCCCAGTGTACCACCCATCAATTCTAATTCTACTTCAGGTATGCTTAAACTACATGTTTCGCTCTTTAATACATCTCTTGACATATCTTCTAAATCTTCAATCTTTAATGAAATTTTTTTGCCAAGTGGTGATATACCTCCACTTGATTTAACTTCATTTGATTTGTATCCACATGCCTAAGTGATCCAAAGATAAAATAAGATAAAAGTGAATAAATGATTTAAATTATAGAACTATAAGTGCATAATAACCCGACACACGTTAGAAGCTTACGTCACAAGTTGTTGCCATTATGACAACCTCTTTGAAATGAGGAATATTTATAATTTGCATCTTAGTATCACATGGTACATTGCAATGAGAACAATTTGCTGGAAATTTCATGACCTCTGGAAGGTCATCATCATCGCTACTAGAATTCGATTTCTCTAGATCGTCTTTTTGTTCATCAGGAACATTCAGTCCTAACGAAATCTCCATATCACGTGTTCTAACGTAATGTCTAATATGAAGTTTTGAATCCGGATTCGGAGCACACAAATTTTCAATATAACTTTGCGAAAATAAAAAAGAATTTTTAGTTAATATCCTTTTCAAAGTATGCCAAAAATCCTAATTCCTTTTAATCCATAAAAATACCTACCTATTACCGGCTGGATCATCAACCGTAATGGTAAAGGGTTCTTTATTCTCCAAATATCCCGACAATTTTTGTATTATAATTTCAATTTTTTCATAAGTTACCACGTCTTGATGTTTTCTATTAGGTTGTTCTGCTGATAAATCTTCAATTATACTTGAAATTACTCCTTCTATAGTAGTAAGACATCCTCTTTTTGCTGTAGCAGGAATTTCCAGGTCGATCTCATCAAGTTTTATTGATGCTGTTTCAGATTTAACTAATTGACGATTTAAATCTTGTTTATTATTAATGGTAAATGTGCAAGTACATCCTTTTTCTGATATTGCGCCGGCAAATTGCACTTCATTGTTATTGAACCCGCAATGCTAATCATAAATAAGAACTTTATTAGTTTAACGTTAGATTTCTCATATAAAAGGACTCAACTAATTAATTACCTCGCAATTGAAGCTCATAATCACAATATCTCTCCAATGAGGAATCCTTGTTAATAATAATTTTGTAATTCCCTAAATCGAATTTATTCCATTAGAAACGAAAGTACAGACAACATGTTCAAACGCAAAATAGATTGATCAGATTTCAAATAAATACGTTTTCACTGCAATTGACACAATAACTTTCAATTTCAGTTGGTTTAGCATCATCATCATCAACCACTTGGCCAATTTCTTGGAATAAATTTTCATGATTTTCCTTTTGTTGTACTTGATTCGACATTTTTTTTTAAAAAAAAAATTTCAATGATTACGTGTCTATTCCTATTTATATCGAAACTAATACGTGTCACGTGAAATCGACTGAACCATTTCGAGTTATTTACGTAGTGCAATTATGCATAGTAAATCGCTCGAAATGTCCTTATTCACGTTCTCCACATTTAGGATAAAATAACCGTTCCACTTTGAGTTAAAAGACAATTAGAAGGAAGGTATCTTTTTCTACTAATTTCTGTAGCACAATAAATAACACTCTAGATACTTCTTTGTAACTTCCATTTCAACTGCGGAGCTAACCAATTTCTCAAAATCAACTTTGCTTTATTAATATTATTCGTTTATTTAAAAAGTTGAAATTCATTTATGATAACGGTAACACACATTATGATAAATTCACACATCATAGACTTTTAAATAATTAATAAGTTATGGTGTGGGAATTGTTTAACGAAAAAACGCGTTTAATAATATAATGCGAACCATTTAAAAAATTGTTCTTTGAGTAAAGAAAAACGTGAAATTCGCAAGCGATGACATCAATGTTTTGATTTTTTATAAAAAAAAATCATCTCTTCATATAAATGCTAGTATAAAGCATGACGTCATGAATAAAGGAAAAAGATTTCTTTTTTCGTGAGAACTCGGGAATTTTTTTGCCAAGCATATGACAGATCAATAACGAATCAGTTTAGTTCAATATCAACAAAAAGTTTGCTTTAAACCAAAAATGAAACTTATTAATTTTTTTTTTCAAATCACCTATTAAATTCCCCAAAAAAATCTTTTTATCCCCATCAATCTTCTTTCTTCCTCCGAATTTTTCACTTTTTAAATAAAATAATAACGCGTAAAAAGTACGGTGTGTTTTATGAATTAAGTCTATTCAAGATTTCTTACAAGTTTTTTCCTCTTCTTATCAATTATGCCATCAGAAAGAACATCACTCGAAATTTCTTCCAAATCAAATAAACGAAAAAATTATGAGGAACAATTTGGTCAACAATCAGATAATTCTAAATCAAATTGTAGCAACAGCAATAGCAACAACAGCGGCAACGCCAACAACAAAAAAATTTGCATCTCAACAAAGGAGGATCCACCTCAAGCTGATCCTTCAGGTGGAGGCGATGATCCTATGTCACAAATTATACTTCAGGATCGTCGTCATAGAAACTTACTAGCAAGCAAGAAATATCGAGCAAAGAAACAACAAATGGAACGAGAAAAAAATGATTTTATTCAAAAATTGTCAAATGAGAATCAATCATTAAAGCGAAAATTACAAGAAGTGGAATTTGAGAATAAAAGTTTAAAAGAGATTATGAATAGACTAACAACTTCATCGGCTGCTTCAGTGTTGGATAATAAAGTTATGATGGTTAGAGAAAGATTGTGTAGGAATGGTGCTGTTGATAATTAATATTTGTCAATTACGTTCGTAGATTTAAGATTTATGATTATGATGTAAATTTATAAATTTATAGATTTTTTTTTTTCCCTCCTTTGTGATAAGAACGCGTTATTTAGTTAGTCTTTACTTTCAAAAATAAGTTCAATAACAAAAAATCATGTAAAAATTTAAGCTTGAATAGTTTAAAATAGTTTCCCGTTCTTTCCAACCTTTTTTTAAATTACGTCAGCAAATATTTTATGAAATAAAGTGGATTATTTACGTTAATCTTTTATTGTCGTTACATTCTTCAATCTTGTGTAACCATGGTTGATTTCGGCAATATTTATAATTGGCTAAATTGGTTTGTCTTTCATCGATTTCCCAAAGAACTTTTCAAAATCTCTCATGATAGGTAATTGACATGTTATCATATTGTAATTCAACAGTAAATAATTTTTGTTACAATGATGAATAAATTGTTGGCACCAGTCCGAAAATGACTTGATGGATAAAACCCGGAATGTTCTTATACGCATGAACATTCCTGAGTTAACAAATAGTTTATTAAGGTTCACTGTACATTCATTTCGCTGATATATTACTAATTCTCCGCATTTTTATATATCATCTAGCTGATATTCATCGGAAGGAATGGACGGTTCAGAATTATTTCAGTTATCAGAAACTAGAATAATAGTCGTATTAGTTACACTTGTTGTGTTATTCAGAGGTTTTGCCATATATTTCCAAAGACGTAATGTGACAGTTAGTTTAAATGATTCGAAAAATGTTGCACTTGTTGTGTTTGGTGATATTGGACGTTCTCCGAGAATGCAATATCACGCTTTGAGTTTTGCTAAAATTGGCTGGACGGTTAATTTCGTGGGTTATGACGGTAAGCAATTTTTTTTAATTATAAATAATATCTATAGTTTAAAAAAAAATTTTTTTGTAACCTAAAAATTATTAATTCTGCCGCCATTTAATTAATTTCTCATCGCAGGTGCATTGCCTTTTAATTCTATCACTAGTAATCAAAATATTAAAATTCATTATATATCACATCCTTGGCATCTGCCAGATAATATACCAAAGATAATGTTTCTCTGTTTTGCGCCAATAAAGATTTACATACAAATTTTGCTTTTATATTGGACTCTTCTATTCAGAATAAATAGACCTGATTACATTCTTGTTCAGGTAATTTAATCTCTTTGACCTTTTCCTTTCGTTTTTACATTTTAAATATAAAAAAAAAATTTTTTATGATGTTTAATAGAATCCTCCATCGATACCCACATTGATGATTGTTCAAACTGTATGTTGGTTACTATCAACGAACTTAATTATTGATTGGCATAATTTTGGATATACAATTTTAGGCCTAAGGTTTGGTCATGATAGTCTTTTTGTGAAGATAGCAAAGCGGTACGAGCAACTTTTTGGTGATCGAGCTCATGCTCATTTAACTGTCACTGGGGCTATTCATCGAGAGTTGATGTTTAAATGGGGAGTCAAGTTAGTATCATCAAATAAAATTGAATATTAATAAATAACAAACATTTAATAATTTTTTTCTTCTTGTAATTTAGAGGTTCTATTACTACATTGTATGATAAACCTCCAACACATTTTAGAAGATTAAATCTTGATGAAATCCATGAGGTATATATGTTATAATCTGAAAGTACTTTTTTTCTTTTATCTTTATTCACTCTAATTTGTTATTTTAACTTAGTTTCTATTAAGGATTAATTTAGAGAAGATAGTTTCAGAACAATCAATTGGTTCTGAATTTTTTCCGCCATCATCTACCAACAATACTTTATTAACAATAAAATCTACAGTTGACACTACTGCAAAATATCGACAAGATCGACCGATATTAATTGTCAGTAGTACAAGTTGGACTGCCGATGAAGATTTCTCATTGTTATTAAATGGAGCACAGAGATATGAAGAAGTAGTAGAGAGACATTCATCACAACGTTCTGACAAAACTTTTCCGAGGTTACTGTTTGTAATTACGGGAAAAGGTCCTTTAAAAGAAAAGTATGAAAGAGAAATCAGTAAAATGACAACAAGACATGTAAAAATTATTACCATGTGGTTGGCAGCAGAGGATTATCCTTTATTATTAGGTATGATATTAAATTCGAGTATGTTGAGATAATAAATTATATGGTTGATAGGAATTAATTTATTAATTGTAGGATCGGCTGACTTGGGAATTTGTCTACATACATCCTCATCAGGCATGGATCTTCCTATGAAGGTAGTAGACATGTTTGGATGTGGATTGCCCGTATGTGCTGTCGATTTTAAATGGTGAGTCAGAAATTTATTTGAGATATATATATATATATATGTATATGTTTTTTTAATTTTGTAAATTCCAAATATTATATTTGTTTAGTCTTGGCGAGTTGGTGCAACATGATAAGAACGGGTTGATATTTAAGAGCGAAACCCAGCTGGCTGAACAATTGATCGTAAGTCCTTCTTAAATTTGTGTTGTTTATTAATCTTGCTATTGTATTAGATACTTACTCTATAAAAATTGTATAGGATTTGTTTACTAATTATCCAGCAAATGCTTCAAAAATTGAACAAATGAGAAATCATATATCCATATTTCAACAAGAACGATGGGATACAAATTGGAACAAGAAAGTTTTACCTTTAATAAATTCGTAAAAAAATACATTTCTATTTAATTTAATTTTAGTACGGACCAACAACCCTAAACATCGCCCCCGAAAAAAATGATTGCCGATACGCTATTCCCAAATGTCTTTTCTAAATGCTCTATAAGAGTACTTTCCACATATTTACCATGTGCATCAGATATTTTTTCTATTGCTCTTATAGTTTAAATGAAAAGTGTAGAGTTGGTGACAAATCTAATAAATTATAAGAGCACATGATGCCGACGAATAAAAATTTTTCAGGGATGTGCTTGCTTTTGTTAGCATAGACTCATTCCTAATAGATTATGAATAAAGATGTTTCAAATTCATCTCTATAGAGAAAAATAATAATCTATAGATATTAATTATTGTAATTTCAAGATTTTGTGAATTTTGGGAATTAATAAATCTTTTTTTACGAGCATAAATAAAACACCAAGTTTCATTCTAATAATACTATAAGGCTAAATTAAGAAATTAAAATTATAAAATCTGTCATGTGATATTTTGTGGTTTATTAAAAAATATTTTCCTTTTGAGCGGATTTTATCAGCAATAAATTATTTTTTCTCGGTTTCCCGTTATACTCAATATTATATGTGAATGATTCCTTTTTATTCAAAAAAAAATATTATATATAAAATAATCAACTTGTGCCAACTAGTGGAATTTACGCGTCTCTAATGATTATAAATATTAAATACTGGACATCATTTTTAATGCAAAACGCGAAAATGATTATTGATTAAACGACATAATGCGATATAAGCTTATCAGTAAATGACGTAAATGACGCAAATAAAAGTATATTTTATACTAGCAATTCTACCAGGAGTTCGCCAACATGACGTGACTGGTAATCTTTACACTTTGATGAGAATTGCAAATCTAGCAGATATTGATGTATTTTTTATTGAACTGAAACATTTGTTAATAATTTATTGACTGAGATTGAAAAGCTAAATTTCAAAATAGTTTCCTTAGAAGTTCAGTTAGTAGAATTAATTCACATGCATTCTAGACTTGCCTAATGTTTACACTTATCAAAAATGTAACTAATTCAAATAATCACTTATCCTTCAATAAATATATTAATGAGGAACTGGAAAAAATATTGGGCATTATCAATACTAATTTTGCTAAATTTGCTAAGAAAAATTCTCAAATAATTAATATAGTCAAAAAGTTGTTTCAGCATAAATATTCTAATTGTAATAGAACTGGTCATAACTCTAGTAAGTGTACTCAAAAGAAAAGAAAGGATAAGTCTAAAAAAGGTAAAGTAAATCTTGCCATTTAAATTCAGGCTTGAGTTTAGACACTAACTCTGATATGTTGTCTAATGACTCTTTTGATTCTAGATCAAGATCTTCATCCGATTCTGAGTCCAAAGTAAATATCAATGTCAATATTTCTAAAGCTAAAAAAGTGAAAAAAGAATCGAGTAATACTTTTACTTTACCAAAAAAAAGAGATTAAGATCATGCATAATGCCCTATAGCTAAGTCTCATAAGGTAAAAGATATAGGAACAGCTTCTTTAATTTTGGCTTCTATCTCTAAAAAGGAAAAACAAAATTCAAAATCTTCACAAGACAATCAATCCTACTTAGAAAAATTTAGCTAACCCTTTTTTAACTGCAGAATTCTGCTTCTAAAATATCAGTTAATTTAACAGTCTCTAAAGAGACACTTTCTAAGGATGATGAATTTATAAATGATCCTATAGAAATATATTTTATTCAGAAAAGGATACTACTATAGATGTCATTACTACTAAATGTAAAATTAAACGTCTAGTAATTCTGATGGCCAAAGTTGATCCTGATGCTAATTTCCCAATTATGACTGATGATATATTTGAATAATTAAAGCTGGAATCAATACAAAAGAAAATATGACCTTATAGGTATTGCTACTATTCCTATAAAATCTCTTGTTACTATCTGAAATGTCACAATAAATTTTACCTTTAGATGTATTATATACATTAATTTTGCAGTAGTCAAATATCCTAAACCAATGCTAATTTTGTCAAACATATTTTTCAATAAATATAATTATGATTTTGCTTACATCAAGTTAAAATTGAGATTAAAATATAATGAAAAAAAATTTTTTATTCCAATTAATATACATAAGATTAAAAACAAGCTTGAGATAAATTACATAAATATTACTTCTAAATGTGATAATTTCTTGACCTAAACTGTATTTCACAGAAGTAGCAAAACTTAAGTGAGGATAGCGTATTAAAAAATGCATAAGCTATAAGGAACTCAAAAGAATATTATTTATTAGTATCTAAATGATTTTGAAATTTATAAGACATTATAATGATTTGTGTAATTATAGGATTAAATATTAGCAATTAATTTAAATTTAAGAATATATCCATTTGTTTCAACCTTTACCATTTTAATATTTGCTTTTTTAAATAACTTCATAATATCTTCAGATTCTTGCGAAATAATAAGTGGTGAAATAGGAAATGATTTACTAAAGAAATCAGTTTCTTTTTTTATTTCTATACTTTTACTTACTATTTCTGATAAACTATCTGAAATGTGAATAGATTTAGATCTCAATACTTACTATTTCTACTTATCCTGTAATTTGCTTAAATAAATAGGATAATGAACTGAAGATGAATCAGAAATACTATGCTCTGATTTTTGGTTTATACTAAGAATTTCTGCTAATATATATTTTACTCTATTGTGATTACAATTATTCCATATATTATGAATATGCTCATTACATATATGATAATCCTTTATTATCATATATGTAAGAATCTTATTTTTAAGATGTCTAATTTTTTTGATTTACTCAGATATTAAATTAGTAGCATCTCGTCGATAATAAGTTTTTAAAAATGGGTTAAACATAATTTTATAACAATATTTTCATAATAATAAAAATAATAATTACTATTTTTAAATGATTAAAAATGATAAAAAATGATAAAAACTGATAGAAAATGATATTTATTGTTTTATATCAATAAAAAATAATAGAAAATGATATTTATTATTTTATTGATAAAAATAATACTAGTAATTCCCTCAAATTCCACCTACTTATAAATTTGTAATCTACTGGTAGTTTTACTTTTTTTAAGATCTTTTTCACCTATTTATATATTATTTCTACCTAGGATATCTTTGGTATTGAAAGCTGAACTTTATGAAGAAAAAAAAATAAATCTTTAATTATGCTTATCTCTTTTTTTTCTTATTTCATAACCAGGTTTAGAACATGAGTAATATATATACCTTAAATAATATTATTTAGGTCATTATCTGAATAATGCTTATGAAATAAAACTTGAAAAATATTATGCAGTAGTATCAAATCTAATTCTAAGTTAATTAATAAATACAAAGACCTATATGATATATGTTTAGAATAAAAAAAGGTTTTTCACTGTACTTATTCTAATATTGAAAATAATTAATTGCAAATAAATATATATATATACAAAAAAGAGAAAAAAATGTTTGTATATAAAAAAGAAAAAAAAATATTCATAATATAAAAAAAAGCAAATTTATAAAAAAAAAAAAAAAGAAAATTGTTCGCAAATACATAATAAAAGGAAAAAAATATAAAAGATATTTGTAAATTAAATAAAAAAATAAAATAAAATAAATTTATAAGATAATAACATTATTATTAATGTTAATGTTAGTAATGGTAGTGATGATGGTATTAGTGATAATATTATTGTTGTTATTATTATTATTATTATTATTATTATCATCATTGTCAATTACAATTATGTCTAAAGATGATAAGCTGACATTTCTTTCAGTTCTATATTGTTTTTCTAAAAAATTTATTATAATTGAATAACTTTTGCATAAATACTTCTTTATATTAAAACAAAAGGATTTAGAATTATAATTAAACAAATTTCTTACTTCCTCAGATATCCTATTATTCTTGAACCTTTTCAGTTCTTCATTGTTCATGATCATAATTATCATCTAAATAGTATTAAAATACAAATATAATTAATATTTAAGCATAAATCCAAATAAAAATAGAAATATATAGTATCAAAATATAAATTTAAATAAAAATTCTCATTTACTTGATAACTCCTAAAAGCATGTATCAAACTCATCAAAATATTTTCTGCAAGCTCGACTTCACTTACCTCTGTAATAGTTGGTTCATATTCTAAGAAAGAGAAAAAAGAGAAAAAAGAGAAAAATAAGTTATTAAACCTACTTATATAAAATACATATTTTCTTTTGATTATTATTTTGCTTACAAACTAAAAAACTAAATTTACATTAACATTAAAGCCTTGTAAATGCAATTTTATAGGTACCATTTACATTGCTTGCAAAGCTTTTCCAAAATTCTTTTCATAATGTACCTTTTATATCATAATACCTATAGAAAATATTATATATAATTCATTTTAACAATTTAAAAAGCAATTTATACATATTTTTTAAATTAAATAAATAAATAAAATATTTACTTGATTGCGATTTTTCGCTGATTAATGAGCGTATATGTCAAATTATTAAACCATTGAAAATAAGCAGTAGCGGTGATGTTTGAAGAATTTGTTAAAGATATTATTTTGTAATTTAAATTTTTGATTTAATTTAGTATAAAAAGAAAAAAAAACTTACTTATATATTTGAATTATATAATACGTATGAATACTCAAACAATTAAATGATTCATTCAAACTTTTATTTGTAAAAAGCTTTTACTTGAAATATCTAATATGTCAACATTTTTGTATGAAATTTATATTATTATTTTACAACATGAATTTTCTAATATATCACATGAAATTTCTGTTATTTAAGCTTTTTTTATAACGCTAATTATTAAATTATTACAAAATTTTTAATTTGATTTTATAAAATATTTAATGTTAGCATTTTTATATTATTCATTTGAAATTTATTTTGTGATATAAATTAATATAATATATCACATGAAATTGCTATTATGTCAGCATTTTTATAACTTAACT